GAAAGGCCACAAACTCAGAAATCACAAAATCATGGCAGATCCCAGAAGTACAGGGGAGAGAATTCCAGCACCTCATTAACTGAGCATATATATCAGGACTGGAGATTTTGAAACAGCTGATTCCTGACCCAAGAAAGAAATGGTCAGCAGACTTGTAACAGCTTTTTCCAAAGTTGTGATAGAACTGTTTCCAGTTCCCCAAAATGAAGACTAGAAAAAAAAATTCCAGTGATTCAGAAAGATGTAGAGGAAGCTTCTGCTTTAAGAGTGAACACAGAACCAAACTGACTTAGTTAGGTCCTGCTCTACTAATAAACACTTTACAAGCGTTGAAATAAAAGCGATTTCCTATCAATATAGATTTGAACATAAACCTACTAGCTACTGTATGCAGCAGAGCTGGACACCGGAGATGTCACACCACATATCACATGACTAGTTAGCATAACACTGCTCCCTTATAGCTGTGGATGGAGGATTTTGAAAACGAGCCATAAACTGAAAATAAATATTTTAGCCTTAGAGTTGCTTGCTTATACTCGTCAAGACCCAAGAAACTAATTATTTAGGCTGGTTGTCAAAATAACTCGATACATAGCGTTAGCTAACCTGCTAGCCAGCTAAGCTTCAGAGCACAGCTAACGAGGTTCAACGACGTTATACAGACGTGCAAAGCAGAAATGCCGTTAGATATTTAGCTCCTTCAAAGTCAAATTTGACACAATAAATTATTTTTCTGGAACAGATGCCAGCTACACGAAACACAATGTCACTGACATTAGAAATTTACCGCTACAGGGGACGCATTAGCCAGCCTGCGACAGCCAGTCAAATAGCTTTGTAGCTAGCTAGCGTTAGCTATACTAACGCTACGTTAGCAACCTAGCTAGGCAGCTACCTAAGGCATAAAGCAGCTTTGCGACCTGAAATAAAAGAAATAAGACAGACTGATGTGAAAATTCAGATCTGGAACGAGAACAGATGAAAACAGAACAGCGGTCCAGACGAAATTAGCTAAAAATTTAGTTAGGTTTCCTATATAATGATGGCTAGCTGGCGCCCTGCTGGCTAGCAAGTAAATCCTCACCTTCCAGTGTTTCACACTGAACGAGGTTGAGATAGTCTCCCTGAGAGAGGATCCCGGCTTTGAAACCTCTAACCAGCCCTTCCAAATAGCCATTATCCACGTTAAAATACAACTCCGAAAAAGGCATGTTGGAATATGTACAGGATGAATATATTCCTGGGTGAAAAGGGTCAGTCTATCTCGGATGTGTTGAGGGATGAATCCGGCTGGAGAGAGAGACTATCATGTGACGGACCATCTGATCACAATGACGTAGAACGACCTGAACGCAAGTTCCATCTTTTTAAACAGGCCCAGAAAACGCAGCTCACCTTCATATATGTATGGAGAATGTACACCGATCAGACATAACATTATGACCACCTCCTTGTTTCTGCGCTCATTGTCCATTTTATCAGCTCCACTTACTATATAGGTGCACTTTGTAGTTCTACAATTACAGACTGTAGTCCATCTGTTTCTCTGCATACTTTTGTTAGCCTCCTTTTACTCTGTTCTTCAGTGGTCAGGACCCCCATGGACCCTCACAGAGCAGGTGCTATTTGGGTGGCGGATCATTCTCAGTCCAGCAGTGACACTGAGGTGTTTAAAAACTCCAGCAGCACTGCTGTGTCTGATCTACTCATACCAGCACAACACACACTAACACACCACATCAGTGTTACTGCAATGCTGAAAATGATCCACCACCCAATTAGTACCTGCTCTGTGAGGGTCCATGGGCGTCCTGACCACTGAAGAACAGGGTAAAAGGGGGCTAACAAAGTATGCAGAGAAACAGATGGACTACAGTCTTTAATTGTAGAACTGTAGAAGTGGAGCTGATAAAATGGACAATGAGCGTAGAAACGAGGTGGTCACAATGTTATGCCTGATCGGTGTATATAGATTATATTACCAAGTTAAAGTATATTTCCACAAATGAACAGAAAAGAGATGACATTTGGACCAAGGCCACACAAACTGGCACATATTTATTGGATGTAATTATATATATATATAAATATATAATTACATCCAATAAATATGTGCCAGTTTGTGTCTATTAAAATGACAGTGAAATTGTTATTTGTTATTGCAGTGTTCATGATGGAAACTAGGGTTCAAGTTCTGCTTCAGACTACATGTGTAGTATTTACATATAAGTATGTGTAACTATATACATATATATATATATATATATATATATATATATATATATATAGTTACATAGCATCGGTAGCATCGTTCTCAGTATGTAGGTAAAATAAATTTTTATCAGGGAAAATATAACAATCAACACCATCTACATCTTATTTTCTGGTATTTATTAATTTAAACCCTGCTTAGTTTATTGACACCCTCTATTTCTCCCCTAATACAAATCGCAGAGCTTTGGTTGTTTATGCATGAGTTTATTCTGTATTGTATCTGCTTCTGTGTGAGTGTGCATAAATACTATTTTGGTGAGAAGCCTCTTTTAACTAATACCACATTTTTTCTTGCAAACAGTAAAAGCTTAAAGATTAAGGGAAGCAGACGTTTGATTCAGTATATAAGACATCTTGCATTGACCATCTTGAAGGTATATTGCTATTTAGTAAGTTCTCTATACCAAGAAATAACATTGACATCCCATTCAACCAAAAATAACCTTAAGTGCAAGAATACCTGTCTGTTTTTCCAGTGAACAAGAAATCAAATAAAGTCATCATAAATTAGTCCCAGTAAAAGCTTGCTATGGTCAAAAACAGCAGCCTGCTGTTCCTGATGATTGTCCATAAGATGGTTGTTGAGCTTTTATTCCATTAAGAAAATCCAGTAAATTGTGCAGTCAGAAAAGAGAAGTGTGTATTCTTTGCTTCGAAGTGGCTGAAATTTGATCTAAAATGTGATAATCTTAGTGTTTCAAAACATGTTTATGTTTGGTGCACTTCAGCACTCATAAAGAATCTCACCGGTACTACATAGTTCTTTTCACATCAAAGCTGAACTCTTTTGCTTTTACGCTGTACCATTTCACAGTCCATTCTGATTCATTTACTAGATGTATATATACTGTTGGTTCATATTCATTAAAGCAAAGCACAGTGGCTTGTGTTGAGAGGAAGAAAATTCATTATAATTCATTTTAAGCATTTTAATGCAAGCTCTAATGGTCACAGTCAAACATCCCATAAATGTTGCACATCAATATCTATTTCCACATATTTCCTTTCCATTACTCAAATTCTAATAAAAACAAATCATTGAACAAGCCTGATTAAAGTGGATGTGCAGACCGATGAACGTTTTATTGCTTGTTCCCTGTATTTGCAAAGCGTGGGTGCTTTACTGCGTCACCCATTAAAATGACCTGGTGGAGTCACCAGGTCATGGAGAAAGTATTAACTTCAGTGCTTCCACTAAGTACTACAGTGTTTACCAGGCAGCAAGGAACATCAAACGGAAGCGAAGAAATGAAATGGTCACTTTGTGCTCTGTCCAGTCTGCACACACACGTACATACACACATACAAACACACACACACATTGAGTTAAACTCCATTTACACAGACTTTGAGAAGATAATAGAAATATGACAAGATGTCCAAAAAAAGGTGGTTATTTAGTAAAGATAATGCTTCTATATACAACCATGAACATTTGCATGCTTAAATGATTCTTTGCATAATGAAATGATACTTCAGACTGATGGAAAAAGTGTTGTATATGGTTCTTTATAGAACCTTTTTGAAAGGGGTTCTGTTCAGCACCAAAAGGGTTCTGCTGTTGTTACGATGTCAAACCTGTAACATTAGAAGAAACCTTTTTGGTGCTATATAGGACCATTTTCATACATAAAGAACCATATACAACATATTCTCTATCAATCTGAAGAACCATTTCACCATGCAAAGAACATTTTAAGCATAAACCATTTAAGCATGCAATAGAACCATTGCATTTATTAAAGAACCAGTGAAGAGTGTATTGAGTGTATTGAAAGTGTACCATTAAGTAAAGGCACCGTTGCCTTTACTTAAAAACTCTGTTAAATGTTTATCAGTTAACATGCCTTTCAATATGGCAGAATACAGTTAGCACTGGAATGGTCTACACTGTCCGAACACTTGGGTGCCATTCCTAAAAGAGACAACCATTAAAAGCAGGAAAGAAACTGCCCTGCGCTGCACCCAGCACTGGCTACTTTGTGTTAATTACACTTTGCAATTGGACCTTGGCCAGAAAAAATGAAAGCAAAATCATTGTTGTTACTTACAGCATAAAAAAAACTCCAAATGTACAAAACAATGCAATAGTCTGACACCAGCCTTCATTTATTCAATTCCAGTCAAAACAGTTTAAATCCAGTCAAAACATATATTAAGTGCAAGTTGTCCATTTTTAGGAGATATTTCTGAGGAAATTAGATACAAGATGATCTTTTTGCAGAGTAAAGTCAAAGGAAATGAAGTGAAAAAAGCAGGAACTGAAAAAAAAATCTAAAGTACGTTTTGTTTCTAGATCAGAATGTTAACATTCTTATAATATTTATTTTATTATTGTATACAAAACAAAAAAAGGTTAACATTACAAGTGAAACAAACTTTTCAACAGTGTACATACACTTCTCTTTAAAAATGGACAAAGGTAACGACTGTTTCAGCTATGTTGTACTTTTTTTTATAAAAATGAGAATGTCATATATATATATATATATATATATATATGAATGACATTCTTATATATACATTCACCTTGATTCAAAGTTAAGGATGTTTTTTCCTTACAGCAGTTTGATTTGTATATGATTAACAAATGCATAGATTGACATATATGAGTGTATGAGTGTGTGTGTGTGTGTGTGTGTTTATGATGGTGTGTGTCTAAAACCAGCAAGACATAAGAGACCACTCCTCCACCCACTGATTAAATCATGTGGCCCTCCTCCTAACCCAGGGACTCTTATAAAGCAGAGTCTGGTGCACACCCTTAACCGAGGGGTCAGGACCACGGCAGGTATGAGACATCACACACACATGCATGTAGAGACACAGACAAAAAGCATGCACACACTCACACCGTGCACACAGCCTCTGGGTAAACATGTTACTGTGCGCTTCAGACAGCTTTAAGCCTCACATAAGACGTTTCTTGCGCTAAGGACCGGTTTCCCGGACCCAGATTAAGACAAATCCTGTACTCAGTTACGTTGTTTACAGTGTTTCACTTATTTTTTCTTCATTTTTACTCTAGAACAGTTTGTAATCTGTATCTGAGAAGCGGTTTACGGTAAGTGCTTACCTCTGAGATTGCTGCAGTGGTCTTTATGAATGTGCACTTTTATATCAGACACATAGTTTACACTGTTTGGTCCCACTTACAGTAATGTCATTTAATAGATAATGTGATAATTTATTAAATGTGGACAATTGATTATTTTCATGTCAAAATGCAGTTGCTGGTTGTTTCTTTCATTGATTCTACAACTTATTTTTCAGCTTATTATTCAGTAGCTACAGAGACATCAATGCAAACTGGCCTATCTATTGCTAGGTTATAGACGTGCATGAAATGTTGGGGCAGCCGGTGGGCCCTGGCCATTTAGGGGGTTAAACTTTTTTATTTTTTTTGCTTTTGTTCAATCACTCACCAGGTTGAAAGAGCGAAGAACACCTTTCTGGATCAGTGGCCATGTTAAATCTTGTAATCTTCTGCTGGTTGAGTCTCAACATGGTGCAGGTGGCGTCCGGTCTCGTCCGCACTAACCGCATGGAGGACTCGCGTCCAAGCATAAGGAGGACAGACAATTCATTTTTCTCAGACATTAGTAAGTGAGATGTATTTGATATACATACTGATACATCCTTATGCAAAAGTTTAAACACCCAAGCCAAATTACGTTTTGCTGATTTTCGAACTGAAAAGTAACACATGCTCCAGAGAACACACTTAAATATGGCATTTCCCTGCAGGTTGTAGTGCACAAGTTTATTTTAAGTTTATTTGCTGAGTTTTACATAATGGAAAATGTTAAATTCAGCAGATACACAGTAATTGTGCATTTAATTGTGCAGAAGTGTGTTCTCAGTGGAGGCTGTGTTAACTTATTTTCTGCTAGAAAATCGACAAAACGTGTCAATTGACTGGGGTGCCAAAACATTTGCAGACATATGCTTTTTTTTCTGCAGATTGTTTCTATAAAGGATATAGGTAAGGATAAGTAAAACTGCCAATATTTCATAGGAGCCATTCTCCTCAATAGCTAAAGTAAATTAAATTTAGTTTACGCCTCTGTTACTTTTCTAAGGCAAATTCCACCAATTTTTCAAACTTTCTGTATAACTCAGTCACTTCATGATTCACTAATTTGGAGTGGTTTGAGTAAAATGGTTCATTGTACAGAAACTCTGATTTCTTTCTCTGAGGTCACAATGTCTCCAACGCAAATAAAGCCATTTTATTTAATATCCAAAACAACTAGTGAACCTACACTTGACTTCTGATTTGTATATGTAATGTTAATAATGGCAAAATAGAGGTAAATCTGAGAAAGTAAGTATTCTCTGGGTACTATTTTACCCTGCATTAACATCTCCACTGTAAATGGCTTTTTGTCTCAAAGGTATAATAAAACAGTGTCTCAGGCATCAGGCAGTGTATTCATAATCATTTCATATAACTTTCTGTGAGGGAGCTTTTAGAGGCATTCAACACTTTGGACATCTGGTTCCTATCACTGTGATCAATTCTCTGTAAGTTTCTCTAAAAAGCAACAGTCCACATGAACCCACTCTGAATGGCTTTGTTTACATCTTATAATTGTGCAGAAATTTTAGACAAAAAATTATTTCTTTTTTAAAACTCATGATTTTTTCTTATTTAACAACTAATGTAAAATCGAATACGTATTTGACATTACAATTTAAGGGTTAGATTGAAATGTTCCAATGCTGTTTTGACTGTTTTGAAGCTGTGCAAGACTCGGCTCCAGGAGTGGATCCTGTACGACCCAGGATTGATTCAGTGGAAGAGCAGCTGATGGTGGATCCTGTTTCCTATGATGAGGTACGCTGGTAATCACCACTTAAACAATAATCATGCTCTTTTTGCATTATGTTCTTTCCTCCCTTTGAAGGGGGATTGCTTAAGGAAAAATGAATGTTTTCCAAATTTCCTGGAAGCTGAAGTATTTTTTGTCTGCGTGCATGTGTTCAGTAGAGCTTGTGCTCAGTTGACAGTGGCAGCAAATGATAAAAGAAAGAAGCTTGTTGTTGTAATAATCCTTTAGCCGTTGGGTAGATCAGTGATAGCCAAACTCTCCAGTCACAATAGACGGGAAAAAATACACTTTGAATGTCAACTTTTCAACCAGACGCAATTCTAATCTTAAATTAAGCCTAATTAAATATCTAGGCTCTTTTCTGCAGTCATATTATTTTTGATAAAACTGATCACTGAGCTTTTGCTACCACCAATAATAGGCCGATTTTATTGCTTTGAAAATGCTCAATGTTTTCAAGAGATATATAATCATTAACTCTTGCATACGTCTACAGAGAATATGGTGTATGAATTGATGCATTGGATCACAGAAAATGCTGTATGCATAAGAATCCTTTTTAAATCTGTTTTGAGAGTGTGCATTGAACTTCACTGATTCACTGAATAATAAGTTATAATCAACTTTGTTTTCATTAAGAACATAGCAATGGACAAATATCAGCATATATAAGAGTAAATCATCAAATAAATATTATTTATAATCGTTGTAATAATAATTAATAATATAATAAACATGATTTAATCGTTGAATAACTTGCTAACCATAGGCACAATGGTCACCCTTTGTCAGATGGATCAGCATATAAGAGAGTGATAACAGTGACCCAGGGGCAACAACTCAAAGGCAGAGTGGAGGAAAAGAAGGAGCTCATTAATTATAGATTGTCTTTCTTTTACGACCACTGACCTGAGAGGAAGACCAATAAATTCAGGGTTCATGGAAATTATGGTCTGCAAACAGAGTGGCTGCAATGGCACCTCTGGTGGTGGCTAAGAAGTTGCTGTATGGTTGCTATGATATTGAAGGTGACTGCTAGGGTGCGGCTAGGTGGTTACTATGGCATCTCTGGTGGGTGCTAGGGTGTTGCTAGATATTTGCTGTGGTATCCCAGGTGGTTGCTAGGTGGTTAATGTAGTATCCTCAGTGGTTGCTAGTGTGTTACTATGCAATTGATATGGTATTCTAGTGGGTTGCTAGAGTGTTGCTAGGTGCTTGATGTGGTATCCAAAATGATTGCTAGGGTGTTGTCAGGTTGTTGCTATGGTATTCTAGGTATTTGCTGGCGTGTTCCTAGGTGTACTTGTATCATGGTGACATAAAAGGGATACACAAACCTTTGGCCACATATTTTCACCATTCATTCCTATGGGAAAAAAAATCTGACTAATGTCTGCTTCATGGAAACAGTACATCCAGTCGGAAAACTGTATTAAAGCCAACATGTCACAATCAGACCAAACCTTTTGGAGTTGGTTTGGTGTTGATATCTCTAACCCTACCTGCAGGATGAGTGCAACTGCGTATTTAGTTTTTTTTTAAAAATCTTAAATCAGGATTTAATTTGAGATTTCATGATGATTCTGTTCCTAAAGAACTGAAACATTGTGTGGTCAGATATTTGCAAGTCTGCTGATAGTGCCTTGTGACGTCTTTTCAGTACCCACAGGACGTGGCTGATGCAGTGCAGCTGCAGAGGAGAGGCACGCGCTCCCCCGGCCGCTGTATCCCCCATCAGCAGTCCTGCCTGGGCCACCAGCTGCCCTGCTGCGACGCCTGTGACACCTGCTACTGCCGCTTCTTCAAAGCCTTCTGCTACTGCCGCAGCATGGACCACACCTGCAAACACGGGCGTGCCTAGCATTCATAAGGCTGACCCTGGATGAGGTGCTGGTAGCTGTAAATGTGCCGGGAAGTCACACAAATGCACATGATGAACATGCAAAGATGCAAAATTTACAAAGATTATAAGATTATTTTGAATGTATTTAACTACAGTATCACAAACCTTGTGTCATACCTCAATATCATCTGCATTTTTGTAATTATTTATATGCACACATATTATTGTAGTGTAGGTCCTTTTTTTTTAATTTGTTACAGGGAAAACCACTGCAAATTGTCACAATCTATTTATAGTGCTATCGTAGGATTGTTCTTCAGACAGACTGAAAAGTGGCTGATTGCAGACATTATTCCAAAACGATTACCATCAGATTCACAGTATTGTGACAATGTAGTGTCCTCAATATGGCCATAAAGTAATGCAACCCTTATACACCATTTTAAAGGGGTACTGTTGTATTTAAGCCACTTTGTCATTAAAAGCTTCATAAATAGGTTTGTAATTGCCTTAAATTCAGCAAAGTAAACAGCATTCACATTAATGTAATCCTACAGAGTGCCTCTAATTGCACATTTTTGCTTTAGCTTTTGTACAGATTCCCTTCTGAACATTATTGTGTGTCATCAATAAACAATGAGCAAAGCACATGGCTGTGGTTCATTTGGTTTGTATTTGTTATTTAATTTGTTTTTTGGCTTGACGCTGTGGAAACTGAAACTGTAGGACTGTTTATGTTGTTGCAAAAGCTACAGTACTTACATCTTAAAGGGGAATTCCACCCAGAAACAACACAAGTTGCACATCTTTATGATAATTGTCATTAAAACAATGCTAATAATAATAATGCTAATAATAATAATAATAATAATAAAAAATAATAACAAAAACATAGGGTACAATACTGTGCCAAAGGCATAGACCCCCTTTTCATTTATTTAATGTTCAGCCAAAACAACCAACATCAATTATTTGTTTTTCGGCTTTAGGCAAAACACAACTAAATATAATTTTTTTAGTGTTTACAGTGTTCACTCTGTCTTTATTACAGCTTCCCTTTTCAGGGAGTCTTTAGGGAAACTTGCTTTCAGTTTTTCAAAGAAGCGATATATTACAGGGATATTTTTCCAAACCTCCAAAGTTCAGTCTAAGAAGTTTGTTGCATTTTCTACTTCTAAATATCTTGCATTTAACAGCCATTTTGGCTAAAGGTTAAATAAACAAAAGTGTGCTCTCTGACCTTTACACAGCATTGTATCTCAAGAGTCTAAAATTTCTATATCTTTCTATACAATTTATTGGTTGTTTGCTGTTTTGCTCTTCCAGACACCCAGAAATACACACTCACACACTCATCTTCAAAGTACGTGTTCATTTCACGTGTCTGTGAGTCTGATGAAGCAAGCATAAAGTGTCTCTTTGTGGATCTTTCTCACCCAGGGCACAGTAAAGCCATAGCCAGCTGACTTATTCCCACTCGTCAGTTTGGTTGTATTAAATATACGTAATATATGTCCCGAGGTTTCTAAAGAGTGACCCCACTTTGGGTAACAGCAACAGAGCTGTAGTGATGCACAATAAAACATGTCTACTGCCATTAATACGGACTGCAAGTAGAAAATCAGTTTAAAGTAGAATTAGATTAGAAATCATAGTTATGTAATTCAGAACTATAAAATTTTTAAATGATTTATCAGTCTTAACCAAAAACTTGACAACCCATGTAATTTCTTTTTTTCTGCCGGTGTGAGCGTAAACACAGTAATCTTTTGTTGTCTCAAAAAACTTCTTATTAATTATTTTTATATGAAAGTGTTTAGTTTCTATTAGCCCATTCACATCAGGTAGTGGAGAAAAAAATGCCCATTTTTTCTTCTTCATTTCTGGCAAAAAACATTGACTTATCTTTTAAAAATATTGATATAATATCTCAAAATAATATTTTCTTAGTATCTCTGAACAGTTACTTTTCTGGATACTGATCTAGCAGGTCAGAATAATGACTTATTATCTCAAAACATCACTTACCATGTGAAAATGGTGACTTACTATGTCAAAATGATGACATACTATCTCATAATAATCAACTATTATCCCAAAAATACTGATGCACATGAAGGTAGTGTTTTGAGTAAATAAGTAATTACTTTGAGATACTAAGCCAATATTTCAAGAACAAAGTAGTCATTTACGATATTAAGTCAATATTTCAAGACAAAAACTCATTATTTTGAGATATTAAGTCAATATTTTGACATACTGCTGCTGGTTGGAATGGATTTTCATGAATTTCAGTGATGTAGGAGTCATTTGTGAGATATGAAGTTTTGTGAAAACTGAGCAGATTATTTACAGCTTATAACTGGTCATGACCAAAGGTATGACAGCCTATCAAGTATACCAATGAAGTATTTGGCCCTAAGTGGCCATTCGATGCAGATCTTGGAACTATGAATGAACCATAACATGTCTGATTTTTGTCCACAGCCCTGAAAGCTTCCATTTTAAGCAGTAAGAGGACAGGTGAATATTAAGATATCAAAGCATCTTTATTGATGATGTTGAATCTAAATAGATGAAGAAGCTTTAGTTAGCAGCAATGGTCTGATCCATCCAGCCACGGAGCTTGGTGACACGGGCGTACACTCCAGGCATGGTGGGTGTGCAGGTGCCGCTGCCCCAGGAAACGATACCAACGAGGGTCCAAGCTCCAGCCTTCTGACACACCAGAGGTCCACCAGAGTCACCCTGAAACACACAGGAGTTTGTGTTCAATCAGATCTTTTGGCAGAAGCTCCATTGGCATATAGTGATAAAACAGACCTGTAAAAGTTGTAGTTTTAGTTTAAAGGCCAATTTTTAGCTAGTTTTGTTTGTGCTTCATGAGATCTACTGGTTTACCATGCATGAGGAAGCTCCAGAGGCTCCAGCACAGATCATCAGATCAGTGATCTTAGAGCCCCAGTAACGCTTGCAGTCATCATTGGTCAGCAGAGGAAGACTGGCCTGCTGGAGCAGAGCAGGGGTATCAGGAGCTGTAATGTAGAAGAAAACAAATGATAAGCTGACAAAGCTGAAAATAGAGTTATTGAAGTGATATTGTAGAATCTTCTCATTAAATTTTACATCAGAATCAGGCAAGTGCTATTTTTCTGAAAAAATAGTTTAGCATACTAGCTATATGGTTGGGATGTAACAGAATGCTAGTATTAAGAATACATATTCATAATATACAATCTGTATTTGGTCCATCTTACATCTTGAATAGGCAGTATTCGGGTGCAGTTACATTTTAAATTTTTAGGAGAAAATTACCATCTATATACCAATACGCTAATATATATGAAGAATCACCATCAATGCTTGTTGATAAACTAATCTAAAAATGCCTGTAAAGATGTACTCTAAAAAAGACCTCAAAATGGCTTCTTTACAAACATTTAAGTTCCTGCTAAAGCCTGAGTAGTCTGATAAATCATTGTGGTGAGCCAGCTATTCATCTCAGCATTACTGAACCCTTTTAAGGGTTAATCGAGCTACACAGTCTTTCTCAGTGGACATGTTCACGAGCGAAAAGCTTAGAATCGCTGTCCATATGTTTCATGGCAAGTTATATATATGATGCTAACCGGAAATCACATAACTGTCCACTTTTTCAGTAAATCTGCAGAATTGTTTGCCTAGTTCATGAGACAGCAGTGGATGAGAGCAGCACTGGTCTGAAGGCGATAAAAGCCAAAATAATGCTGACAACAAGAGATTTTTTCATCTGCCTTGCCACTATTCATTCTAAACTTAACCTAAATATGTTCTGAATGCGTGTCTTTTTATGTATTCTAATAAATTATGTTACTGAATACATTTATGACAGTGTATTTTTTCAAGTATTCTGCCCAGAACTGTATATTAGCTTATTGATAGGATAACATTAAGCTTTCCTACAATGTTTAAGGTATATAGGTATTTAATAGTCCAACAAAACATCAAATTTTTAGAAATTTCCTCTTAGCCTAAACTGATCAGTCAGAGCACATTTGGTGTCAGAAGTTTGCATCTTTAGTTTTTAATTGATACTAAAAGGCTAATACAGTTCACAGCTACCAGTTAGCATCATGTAGCTGCATGCCTAAATCATCGAATATTTGCCTCAAACAGTGTTGAGTTGTTAAGTAACCTCAAACTGGATTGTCATGTAGATAAAACCAGTAGTAGCACCTATCTTGGATCGTGAAGCCTGAATTTGGCCTACACTTTGTCCTTTTTCATAGATATTCTTCATTGTTTGTCAGCCTCACAAGTTCAATGCAAAACCAAAGAACCAAAAATGTCTTGGCTAACTGACTGCCTTTGCAATAAGGGAAAAACTTGATTTTTGACCAGACTATCACTTTAAGAGAGAAACAAAGTGTAGGGAGGTACCATTGTGCTTGGTCAGGCCCCATCCAGAGGTCACACACTTCATGCCACCAGGGAAGTTGTCGTTGGTCTCAGCAACACACACAGGGGACACGCGAGGGTTCAGCTGGGCAGGGGAGGCGAGCTTGATCAGAAGGATGTCGTTGTTGATGGTGAAGCCATTGTACTGGGGGTGCTTGAAAACCTGATGCAGGGGAGACGTTCACTCATTGAATTATTCAGTTATGTATAAGCCAAAGTGAAAGCACAACTAATGACTTAAGTTAGGAAGACTGATTAATTTAATCATTCTCTCATTGTTATTATTAATGGAGTGCTACTGATGTTGAAATGCACACCTTGCCAACACTCATGATCTGAATGGGCTCAGCATTGGAGGAACGATCATGCTCTCCCAGGATAACACGGTGGGACGTCCTGTAATAAGTAATAGTAAATACATTGCAGTCAAAAGACACTAGTCTCTCTGATAGGGTATATTCGGGAGCAACAAGTGGCTCTAACTAGGGGGTGGCTTACCTCACATTGCAGTGGGCAGCAGTCACAACCCACCATTCGTTGATCAGGGAGCCACCACAGAAGTGGAAACCGGTGTAGTCCTGTATGAAGCATGATATTAACTTTAACATTTATAGACGCATCAGCTGGTCCAGACGTTTATTACACACTTCAATAACCTAAGAAAAATGTAGCCAGTTTGCATTATAGTCCATGTAGTTACTGGATACAAAAAGTAATAAGGCTGAGATTTTAAGGAGTCAAACAGACACAAATGTTAAGTTCAAAAAGCAAACATCTGCACTCCTAAAAAAGAAGGGGTACTTAGTAGTGCTTAGTTTATATTACACTGTGTAAACGAGACAAGATGTGGATCATACCTGCAGAGACACCTGCCAGGGCCAGGAATGGGGCACTGCCTCCTCACCATTCACAATCCTGGAGTAGCCAGTGATGACTGGAGGAATAGCAGGAACTCCACAGCCTGGAAGACAAAAGCACGCTCAATCAATTTTGACCTAGGAGATTTCTACCCAAAGAAATGTTTGAATCCATCCATTACACTTTCATCTATTTGTAATGTATCTGTATGATAACATCCACGGTGTATGAGCATTTAGCAATGGTAGATCAATCCAATCTCCAGCTCTTACCATAGGCTG